CTGGCGCCGGCCCAGCCGCATGAACTCCTTGTGCTGCCGGGAGACGAAGTTGACGGCTGCGTACTCCAACAGGGCAGCGAAGACAAAGAGCAGGCAAATGGCCATCCAGATGTCGATGGCCTTCACGTAGGAGACCTGCAAGGGTGAGAGGGGGCTCAGGGACCTGCTGCCTCGTTTGTCCCTCCCCACTTCTCCCCACTGCAAGGGGCACAGAGGCTCTCTCGATCAGGACACATGGGTCAGAGCTCGCCCAGCCGAGCAGAACCATGCTCCTGCTCACTCCATAGCTGGCAAGGCTATGGAGCCAGCCATCCCCAAGGGAATGCTGCCCTTGGGACACTGGGGGCAGCCCATGTTCCCTGGTCAGGCTCCAGCATGAGCCCGGCATGGAGCCAGCACTGACCTTGGGCAGGGAGGCACGGGAGCCAGCGCTCTGCGTGGTCATGGTGAGCACGGTGGTGATGCCCAAGCCCACCCGGGCCGGTGCCGCATCCATGTTGATCCAGAAGGAGACCCAGGAGAGGATGACGATGAGCAGGCTGGGGATGTACATCTGGATCAGGTAGTAACCCATCTGTCTCTCCAGGTGGAACTTCACCTCGATGCAGGTGAACTTGCCTATAGGGAAAGGCACCCCCAGGCGTGAGAGGGACTTCTGGGGCATGGTGAGAGGGTGGTAGCAGGTCCCTGAGGAGCTCACCTGTGTTGTAGTACTTGGTGCAATAGCCTAGGTCCTTCTCATCCCTGAGGATGAACTGTGGGAGTGTCAAGCCCTCTGCCACCTGCACAGCCTCCTGCTCCTCCAACCACTTGAAGATGAGGTCATTCATGGTGTAGCCAACTGGAGGGGATGGAAGGAGCCATGGGACAAGGTGGAACATGCACCCTGTTCATCCCCACCCTGAATGACCATTCCTTCCTGCAGAGAGATGCCAGCCAGATGGCTGGGCTGGGATGGGAGGGGATGGCGCGGGAGCAAAGCACAGCTTGAACCCCCCTAGGTACTCACAGCTCTCCAGCTGCATGGTGCATGTCTGGATGTCCATGGGAAAGTTCTTGAGGTCCATGGGGCAGGACAGGATCAGTGTCAACCTGGAGGAGGCAGAGAAAATGATGGGCGCTGGGGCAGTTGGTGGAGGGAAAGCTTCACCTCCCTACTTGGGCATCGCACCAGAGGAGCAGGACTCTACCTAATGCTGTAGAGCACGTTGCCGTTCTTGAAGATGCGCAACAGCTTGTTGTCGGTGGTGACCTCGTGGAAATTGGCCCCTTTCTCGTTGGCAAAGAACAAGTCTGGCTTCCAGATGGAGTCGAGCATGGAGGGGTCGAGGTCCAGGGAGTCGTCGGGGTACTCGCGGTAAGCCAGGCGGGGGTCATTCCACTGCTGCCGCAGGAACACGTTCACCCGGTAGTCCTGGGGCAGGGGGCACCGCGTCAGCTGGGAACCCCTCGTGGGACCCAGGGAGGAGGAAGAGATGGAGGAGGAAGATGGGATGGAGAGGAGGTGGATGGAGAGGATGTGGAGGGGGGTGTCTCAGCCCCGCAAGTGCTGCCTGCCTGGCACTAACCACGACAGGGCAGGGGCACTCAGGAGCCTTCCCATGCTGTTGGCAGTCAGGGGAAATTAAAAAGCCAAAGCCACAGTGGCCCGGGGGGGGAGGAGGACCAG